TATAGCTATCTCCACAGGAGCAGCTGAATTTGTAAATGCACATGGAAGAGGCCAACTCAGGTAACTTATCCTTCGTTTGAGTAGATATCTCTGGTCGACAAGAGAAGGTCAACGCAAGATTGGCTGCGTAGAATGTCCTGGTGATTACTTTGGTTAACCTATATTTCAGAGTGTCACTAGCCACATCCCCGTTGAATTGCACTTTCATGTATAAAGGTTTCTTACGAACAGTCGAAATCTCCGACTTCTTTATTATATCCTGCATGTACTTCTTAATGAACGCGCTGGGGTAGCCGATCTCGGTCAGTGAGTTGTTGATAAATTCAAGTTCCTGACTTAGAGTGTCTACTGTACAGATCTTTTTTGCTCTGCTCGTGAGACATCTGACCAAATTTCTCTTGTAACGGATGGGTGTGATACTGCAGAAGTGAGTATATTGGCATGAAGAGGGGTTTCTTCTATACACGCTTCTACTTAATGTGCCGTCACTTCGTCTGCTTAGTGTGACGTCAAGGAAGCTCAGCTTCTTATCATGCTCGCTTTCACCAGTGAAAAAGATCGCTGGGTGAACACTGTTGAATTGGTCTAGGAGTTCCTCTTTACTAGTGTTTTGATCTACGATAATGAATGTGTCGTCAATGTATCGGCAATCAAAATCCAGTTTCTTAATAGTCTCATTGAGAGGTCCGTTTTCTAGCTTTGCTAGGAAGAGGTCAGCTAAAATCGGGCCTAGAGGCGAGCCCATGACTATATCGTCTATTTGTCTATAGTATGTATTGTTGAAGACAAAATGTACATTCAGAGTGCATCTTAGGTGCAGTTCTCTTAGGCTATCGTTAGGCAAGCCAATGTTGATTTGTTTTTTTGATATTTGCTTGCATATAAAGTCAATAGTCTCTAAAAGTGGTACGTTGGTGAACAAAGATTATTATCAGTTCACCTGTCTTCCTACTACTATCAACTTGTACTTTTACCTATTATGTGTAGTGACTAATTCTATTTCATTGTGATGATTGACCCATATTGCCTTGATTGGTTTAAAATTTTCGTATAAATATTCATGTATATTAGAGTAAAGCCTGATGACGATCTAACTGAAAACAATTGTTCGCTTATATGTGTCGTTCTAATTTTCACAATGGGAATCTTTAATATTATACATAATTATCCCGAGTGAGTTTCATACTAAAGACGTATGGTGAAACTGTCATTAGTTGAGAACAGATCGAGGGGGACCAACCTATAAGACATATCCACAATTGATTGACCACTGTGAAGTGATAAATGCCAAGTTGGTTTAGTCTTTTGCTGCTGATCGAATTCTATCGATTAAGTTACAATACGACCATTAGTTTGAACATGTCGACTTCGCATGCACTGTGCTGAGATGTTAAGTGGTTAAAGGTATTCGGGAGGAAACCCAAAGGGATCATCAGTCCCCTCAATATTGGAGGTAATAACTAGTGCCTACTAGCACGAAACGGAGATCCTGGATTTCTTTCAAAGTACCTCAAATCACCAGTCATTTCAATACAGTACACGCAATGTGTGGTCACTCAAACTAATGACTGTATTGCAACTTTATCGATAAAATCTTATCAGTTCTGAAAAATTAGATTAACCTGATATTGGTCACTGTGCAGTGATCAGTCAACTGATGTACTGTACTTGTAATTTGAACACTTGATTTATACCATGTGCCCGAGTCAATACTTTAGGGGTAACTTATACCTAGCATGTTCGCAGGATTTCTCTAACCGCTTTCTGTAAGTTCTAAAACTTTCCGACGAAGTAACGTCTATCTTCGTATCTAGGTTAGTTTGGTATAATATGGTTGCAAGAGTGAGTGCCACTAAGAGGTTTACACTAACTTGTTCTAGACATTTGTTAGTTAAACCCAAAGTGATTTTGTCACAATTCATAGTCATACATGGTTTGCACAGCATCACATATGAAAGTCAATGCACCAGTCTTTGTCCAGCAAAGTATGCCAGAGGCGTCAGATGGGTAGTGATACTGACCAAAATTAGTTATAAACTGCGTAATACTTCCTAAGATTGTCCATTTCATTTGACCAGTAGTCACCCGACACCCTCTGATCCTAGAAATGATTTCTCTATGGGAAAGCACCCAAACTGATAATTGAATTCTTCAGAATCACAATTTGTATGGTTGAAATATTCTCCAATCTGGCTTTCACCTCCCCATCGCCTGGACGGATAATGGTAGTTATCAAGGCTATCTCGAGTCCCTGACCTTTGAGATGGTGGAGAAGATTTGTAGCTCAGGTGGATGATTTTGATGGAGTTTTGTTCTCTGACCTTTCCTATGGTACTTCTATTCTCAGCTTTGGCGAACCCTAAGTTTGGATATAAAGCTTTGCTTCCACCCCCTCACATTACACCGATTGTGGTCATTGTATTTTGGATTATTCGACCTTATTTGTTCATTTTTGTGTTTTCCATTTCGAGCTCTCTACTGCATCTGATTCCCATTTTCTACTAATCATATCGTTAATTTCATCTTATTGAGACGTTTGGTATGTTAAATATGATAACTACACATTTGTGTAAAATCCTACTTGATGATCTATCAGTCGGTTTCGACGGTCAGATAAATGTTACACTCTAGCATTGTGAGGGCAATGCAGTCAAGTTATTGCAGTAGATAGGGCTTCCCTGAATGATCGTTTTAGCTTGCTACGTCAACTGGGCTTACATATATAGAAGATATTACATTCAACATTTTTGGTAAACATTGGAATAAGACGAGTCTATTAATAAGAAAGTACTTCATATTTTGTATTACAATAAAACATATCGAATACTCTCACCCTAATTTTCAACATTTCGAACGCGTACTGAGTAAAAATGAACGTGAAAATGATTTCTGCTTCGACTTGTTGAAAGCACATGCATTTTGCAACACGTAATGGATTAAATATTTTTGCTCAAAGTAGGATCTTAAATACGTCGAATTTTCGGATGTTTTTCATGAACTGTTGCCAATCATGATTACCTCTCATTAACTGTCGTGTGATTTTCATCCGCTCTTTCGCCCTCCGTTTTTGTTCTTTCGCCTCACGATTTTTTCTCTTCAGCCACCTGATTAGAGAAAAAAGTCATTGGTTTTATTTTTAAATTAAATTGGATTCTATAATTTAATCTCGTGCAACAATGTGGATTCCTATAAATAAATGGTATATTTGTAATATCTCGAAGAATAGAAAAATTAGATTTTCTGACGTTTTGTGGCTTAGTGTAAGTCGCTTCTTCAGAGAATAAAGAACCAAATTAAAATTAATCCAAGTTTAAATAGTACAACGGAACAATAAACTTGGATTAATTTGATTATTTGTTCTCTGAAGAAGTGTCCTACACTAAGCCACGAAACATCAGAAAATCTAATTTTTCTATTCATTGGGATATTACAAATATACTATTTATTTATGACAATCTCCCTAATGCTCTATTTATTCGAAATTATCAAACCAAACCTTGGTAATGATACCTAATATGGATTCCTATTTAAAACTGGTTTCATCACCTTGAATGTATGGTTCCTGAAACTAAATAGAAGGTTCGCCAAGTCAATGAAATTGTGCTATAAGTGAAATCCTTGAAATATTGTTCAACTCTATGATAAAAATCCCACACTACAAAATATCACTCTAAGTTGGTGTGATTATGAATTAGCAATATCTCAGTTGGTTCGCTGAATGCATTATCTTTGTGTGTAAGCCACAGTCGTGGTGTTACACTACTTCATTGTTTTTTAACCTAAAACGGAAACGTTTTTAAATAATGAGATCGGATTTGAAGTCTACATTTATATGAAGTGAAAAGGCATTTCAGCTGTTTTCTAGATCTTTTTGTGTAAACTTTTGTTCAACTGAACAGATATCACAATAAAACGAGCACTCCTTATAGGGTTACTTTGAACTACTTTGAACTACACATGAGGTTGTAAAATGAATATAGTTCCTTTACAGTTTGAATTAGGAAGGTACCCTAACCTTTCGTCCCGTTCGATATAATATTCTGAGATTTGTCAGAGTTCACACGTTCAATCAAGCACACAAATATTTATGATAAGCTGTTCTTTAGAATTAAAAAGTAAAATTATACCCCCTCATTGTCGAAGTGTGATAACGGTTTACGGAAACAATTAAACTATCTAAACAAAATTCTATGTAGCTTTCGTTGAGCCGCTGCCTAGTGTTTAAGGCAGTCACCTTTCAGTCCGTCTCGAACACCCTTGCCTATTCCGGTTTTTGCACGGGGGGCAGTATCACTGGTTCTCGCAGTTGAAATGTAAATCATAGTAGAGTACTTGGTGAATGAGTTAACGTACTATAGCTTTGTATTATTTTTATATTGAGTATCTTTTAATTGAAATTGGAATATTTCAGTGAGATTCAGAGTATTTCCAAGGGTTAACCTTACCTTCAAAAACGTCCAGTAAAAAGGGGGTCATAATATGTAAATACTTCGCCTTCTTTAAGGATTTAAACCCTTTAAATTTGCAGTCCAAATATGTCACTCAATATGAATTACAAGATAATCCAGAATATGCATTAGACCAATAAGTGGAAAGTGCTGTTTTCTATTTAGTTCGTTCTTTTTAAAATTCTTCATTGAATACCACACCAAACACTTGACTTTGTTTTAACTACTAATACTTATGGTAAATGTGATGTCGCCTTGATAACAAGCTGAACGAGATACGGTCTTCGTTTAAATGCATACTTTGTTGCTTCTTAATCTAACACGGTTCACTTTCTTCTGTAGACTATATTAATGGAAATAGTCAACTTTACAGCTTCTCCATGTTATATCCTAGCGAAGATTAAATTATGGGTGACTTCTGGGAACTATTTTTGGACTGTTATCATATATATGTTCTTATTGGATAACTTAAGTATTTTATACATATATTTATATATTTTCCATTTGACCTATTGACTACTATTATATGATTTACTATTGTTAAGTTATTACCAATTTATTAGTTACAGTATCTCACACATACACATTTGGTCAGATCTTGTATAATTGCTGTTTTCTACTTCATAGTATGATGCGGTCTAATTTGCTTGTATTTAAACTACATATGTCTGAAATACGCGATACATATAGTAGAAGCTGTGTTCTGGACTCAGAGTTGACAATACGCTGTTCGTACTGCTTAATCCATCATTGATCTGGTATAGTATCAAGGTCATGGGAGTCCCTGTTTTAACTGGGCAATCTAAACACGTGACATAATTAGCAGGCCATAGAACACAACACTTCACAAATCCAAATGATTATAGATTACATTCATTCACCACAAATTAAATAGTCTAACAATCGTGCCAACTTACTGTTTAAATGCCTGCTCACATGCCTCTCTGGAATGCACAACATTCAGATGTTGTTGTTCTTCATTTTCATATCGTCTCATTTCCTCTTCACTTTTTCTTTGTAAAACTTTAGCTCTTAACCAGTTTGATAATTTATGATCACGTGATTTTTTATCTGCAATCTAATTTTCATGGAAATTCAGACGAGTTTTTTGTAAGAATATATTCATTTTAAGGGTTTCCCTATTTATTTTTTCAAATATATATTGTACTACATTTATTGTTATCAGAATTTAACCTTTTTTAAGAATATGTTCTTTTTGTGTTTTTCCCTCTCCTCCACCTTAACTTCCATGTATTCCTGATATTTAAGTCGATGCCGCACCTTTATGAATTCAGAAAATCAGTAGTGTATTTTGAAAACAGTTTCTTTGTTTAAATATACCATTTTCGAAAAAATGAAATGAAACATTAAATTTATCAACGGTAAACTGACTTATGGCGGACGGCTAATCACTGTTAGATCAATCGAAGCTTTCTTTAGCATTGTTTTCCACTTAGAAATGTTTGAAACTATAAATCACCTAACCTTTTTCAACTCTAGTATATGTATAACCAAGATAAGACTAAGTTACTTATTAGTTAGTAATCGAAAAACCAAGGATTAAAGATTACAAGGTTTTTGCGAATTCTCCACTCATCTCCAGAGTAAATACGTCAAAGTGCTAATCACATTTGACCTTGATACTTGGTCGAAAAAAAACTGTTGTGAGCAGAATGAGACTACTAATTTACTAATGTTTTCAGATAAATGAAAATAACCTTGTAATTTATCACTTACTTGGATAGAATTTTCCTTCGCTTTCTCGGTTAATGGCTTATCATTATTGTTCTGAAACTGAGAATTACATGTTCTTTCATTTTTTTGATTACTTACATGCTTAGTTATTATTTTAGTAATATTGTTATCTCGCTCGTTGATTGGAGTTTTTCGGTACTTCTTCGTCCTTGTTACTTCATCTGTATGTGTAACATATGTATCTAAAAACAAGTTATTGATCATTTGCTTGAACGTCTGTTTATCTAAGTTGAAAATTAAAATATTTTAACCATGTAAACTTAATAAAAAATAAAGTTAACTGGTAAATAATATCGAGGAGCCATATGATAAAATTCATATTGCATAATCCAAACTGAATCCAGTTTCACGAAAATGTATTTTCTCCGTTTATTCTTATCTAGACTAATGGACTACAAGTTTCTGATTAATTGCACATTTTGACTACCTCATTATCTTCCAATTATTGGTCAAGTGCATCCTTGCGTTTACTAATTCGAATACTCCTTTCCAAAATATACCACGAATTTTGATCGAGATCTTGGACTGATTGATGCTGGACCACCACTGAATACCTGGAAGCACTGGAAATTACTACGTAATAATCTCCACAACCCCATAATGATCATTACCACGTGCTCACTAGAGACTACCTTCGTGAGGGAATTGTCAGAGTTCTTTTGAGAAGCCGTGACCAGTTGAGCTAATCCGCGTTGAGTAGAGAAAGGTATCTACCTCAGTACAGTGGACGATGGTCGCACAATTTCGTGGGTCGGTTGAGGTTAGACATTAACACCATTGGATGCCGACCAAGTGGTCTCGAGTCCAAGCGTTCACGCGCGAGACTGAGGCCCAGAGTTCTAATCCCGCGAGCGGGATCGTGGATGTGCACTGCTGGGGAGTCCCACAATAGGACGAAACTGCCGTCAAGGTTTTTAGTGGTGGTCTAACATCAATCCGTTCACGATCTCAATCAAAAACGTAATGATCTTCACAACCCCATAGTGATATATAACAAGAAGTTGGTTTTTGTCGACGCAAAGTTCTAATTTCTGAAAATCAATAAGTTTAGGTGATTACTGGATGTATTTGCAAGTCTTAGCGATTAAAGTTCGGTTATTCTTAACAAGACGATAAAAGAGATTATTCAACAAAAACGATTTTATGTGAAAGCGGAAAAATAAATGGCTAAAGCGAAATACGATATTCATGAATTAGAGGAACACGCAAGATAGTGGTATAAAAATAATGTATTTACTTTTAACACACTAAGTGAATCATCTCGGTGTATAAAGAAGAAAAAAATTGTCATAAACCATCCGATTTCGTAATAATAATACACTTACCAAAATATGGACATGAACACCCTGGTTCTTAAAGGCAAAATATATATTGTTATGCAAACTACATTTCAAATCGTAATCCCGTTTCTTAACTTTGTCACCAAAATATGTGCAATATAAAAATTTCACCAAATTTTCTGATTGCTAAGATAGCTTTTGTTGCTCGTTTTTTGTATAAACAATATGAGTGACAGCTCTTCTTCTAGACAGGTAAATTTTTGTTGTCTTAATTTAAAAGCCAGCCTTTTATAAATGTCTGTATAGGGTTGTGGAGATTGTTGAGTTTAAGTTGATACCATTAATGGATGAATGTTAGAGCACCATTGAAAAGGTGGAAGCACTGGACGGCAGTTTTGTCCTAGTATGAAACTACCATGACATTATAGCTCCATATTGATGTACTTCGATATTTGTCTGCCACTCTGAAAACCCTCCTATATGAGTGTTCAGGATATATAATTTAAAACAATACTGTGAAATGGGAGGCAAATGGATCTAAACTTACAAACTATACAATTAGCAAAACAGTCCAGCAAACTATTCGTTAAACCAAAGAATGAATGGAGTGGCGAACGCTTATCAGTTTTCTTTCGCATTTATAGATTTTATCTGGACAACAAAAATTTCGTGAAAGTTGAAATTATTTTGCTGAAGCCGGATAAACCAATATATATTTCTTTCAACTTGTTTTATCCATCAGAATACTCCAGCTACCCATAAATCTTTCTCAAAATTAACTTGGGTTTATAAATAAGTTGTAAAAAAAGCAGAAATAAAATCCTTAATTATAGTTCTGACTAAAAGTAGTCAGTTACACATATTCTTTAATAAGTGATTAAGGTTCTCGTATAGTGAACCCAAACACCAGTGGGGAACAATCGAATGTATTTAACACAAAATTACAGGACTTGTTAATAAAATCTAACAATCATCAAGTAAATGCTTAATTTGCAAAATGTCCATAGATTGTCTCAAAATGACTCAGACTTCATTGTTCTTGCAGTTTAATACAAATTGCATTTTGTTTCCATTCTTTACTCTTCGATCCTCTTGTCTCTCTGCTGCCAGAACTTCTGTTCACGACTAACATCATATACTCCTTATGTCAATATAAGTAGCACACTCGCACCGTTAAATTTAAGCCTTTTTATCTGACACTTTTATTTAGTAATTTAAATCATACTATGGACCAACAAAAACAAATTCCTATTTAGTTAATAATAAATATCAGTGACTACGAATTAGCATGGCTCTTCAAGTGGCTATTCTGTGACCGTTCATACATAATGTAAAAAACTAGTTGGAATAAGCTGTGGTAGAACACATCATACAGCTTACTTGTTTGAGTTAGTTTGTAACCTATATGGACGATTTATTCCATACACTTTGAATCAAAAAGTGACAAACAAACTAATATCCTATTGCTTTACTGGTTTCATCAAATATTAGTCCCTAACTTAATAGTCTATTCACAATATTTGTTTGCAGTGACCATATGACCACTAAAACTGACTTTTAACTTCATATAATGTATTATCAACTTGTTCAAATGATTAAATCAACTAATTGAGCCTGATTTTAGTCTTACTGAGTCTATTTAACTTCAATTCCATCAGAGAGAACTTTTAATCTTCAAACCTTTCATAGATAACTTACTGTCAATCAAATTTTTGTCGGCCTCCTCTACATTACTTTTTTTTGAGATGAGAGACTCATATCCACCTAAGTTATTCTCACTGATATTAACAGGTCCTGGTATAACAGACGTCCGCTGTTGGGAATATCTTGGATTTGCCTTCATAATTGACTTATTCATTGTATCATCTTCATTATGACTTAAATTCTTCATCTCGTTTATTTCGTCTTCGCTGAAATCATTTAAATCTTCACAACTATTCTGGCTTATTATCCGTGAATAAAAAAGTTGTGGATGAAAATTGACACGTCCTGTCTTTTTTTCATAGTTATCAGCAAAATATTCTTTTTCCTTCGATAATTCCAAGTTAAGTTCTGCCACACGTCTTCTCACATATGCATTAGAGTCATCAGAGTCATATGTTTCATCTTCTGCTAAGTTTAATTCAATGTTATTCTGATCATTGCTTAAGTGACGTATTTCATTGTCTTTTCTAAGTTCCGCTTTGAATGCATCTTGAGTAACGTTATTTACTAGTGAACGTGCCAAAAATTTAACGTCTGGAGAACCTACCACTTAAAGGACGCATAATTGTTGAGATTTAACAATTTTGTTTATATGTAATTTTTTATAAGTCCTCACGAGGATAATTTACAAATTGAAACAAGAAAAATAAAACAACAGTATAGTGATACTGTGTAAACGAAAACTAGAAATAACCAACTGGTAGTCATTCGGAGAAGGAGTATTATACCATATGTCCTCCGAACTTCACTCTTCTATATTTTTTAAACCATGTGCGTAGGTAAATAAACACATATTACAAAGTTTGAGAATCGAATTCACCATTTTACTTTTGATAAAAATTTTGTGCAATTCTTGATGAACACTACTCATGTATACCGTTGAACTGTGGTTATCATCTAGAACTAATATTGACTCTGTGCCGTTACATTAAGATAAATAGTTAGGCTATTTAAAGTAGCCTTAATAACATATTTAGCTCTTCGAGCAGCGTCCAGGATTGAGATAGTAGAAAAGATAAAACAAATAACCAAAACCATTAGTTTTGACGTCCACTGACGGAGCTATGAAACCTCCTATACTCTGAATCAATATCTTATTTTACCCACTGTAAATAGTTAAGTTTTGTTTCTTCTTTAATTAACATGAAAGTGAAATTTACATTAGGCCTTTTTTACCAAAATATAGACCAGAGCATTAATACATCTTCCACTAGTAATACGTTTAAATCCATTATTTGTTCTGTAGACGTTTACTGAACGTCAATTATAAATTATTAAGAATGACATTAAATATTGTCATCATCATCAACAGAAGACCTGACAAAACTAACTACATCATATTGGTCCTGAGAAACTACTGACAAAAGAACAAGGTTTTTAGTAACCAGAGAAAAACTGCAATATTCCTAATATTTTCTCCTCCATATCATTATTAGAAAGAGCTTGAGTTACGTTTTCGTTGATAGTCGGAATGGATTTTGTAGTTATATACACATCAAATGATGATCGCCTCGATATATAGGTCGTGTCTATCATATGAGAATTATGTTCGTTCGATAAGCTGGTGATTGTCTGGACTCAGTAGCTCATGAATAACACGTGGAGTGTTTAAAGCAAAGGGTATTGTGTTTGAGTCTCAATGTATTATATCAACGCCAGAATGCAGGGATATTGAGCTAAGGAACCCCAAATGAGTGAAAATGAGCTTTCTGCGTCCCACTGATAACCACGATCAATTCTCACTAACTTTTCCCCCATTTATATTCGTCTGTAGATTTATTATATAAGATGGTGGGGAAGTTTTCCACATTCCATCAACAATAATTTGTTGTCAGAGAAGGGTGTTTGTGGATATTATAGTAATTTTAATGGTTGAGATTATGAGTGAATTGAAGCTAGACCACCATGGAAAACCTTAGTAAACCAGGTAATCCTCAATGTTAGTTTTTATAGCAGGCATTGTAATATTTGAAGTATAACTGCAATATTAACACCGTCTTCACATGCTTTTTAAGTACACAATTCTGGTCATTTCAACGCGATTCGTCCCATTTCGTGGGCAAGCCTTGCTCTAATTTATGACTAAACATTAACGATTTCACATTTACGGATGGATCAACATTGTACGGTTGTAACCCAAACCAGACTAAGGCTCCATAACAAGATTTACATGAAAATTGAGTGGATGAATTTTGAAGTGAATTGGCTCTTTGAATTAACGGTTTGATTTGTAGATAATTACTGGTGTTTCTAAATGACTACAATGTTTACATATTCATTTCTTTTACGTCAACGGTCTCTAGTTGATTTACATACTGATTATAAGTTGACATCGATATTGATCATCTTCTTATTTAACCATCACGCTTGTGAAATGTTCTAGCTGGTTTTTTTATTCTTCTATCAGATCCTTTAAAATCTTGCGAAATATATCACGTTAATGATCATTAATAACCACTATTGTGTAACTGTGCATTACTATACTAAAACAGGCGATTGTTCTATTTGATGAAATTTAGTCGATAACACCAGTAATGCAGAGATTTCTTGCAACAGACTTAACTGTTTAGTCAACATCGTTTCTCTTAAGTTGCTCTCAAGCTACAGTAGTATTTAAAGCAACAGGGTCAATAAATAGTCCTATTTGCTGATGCTTGAAGAACTCTCTGTGTCTAAGATGCACCGTGAATAGAGTTGCAAGATTCATTTTAATGGTTTTGTGCGTGAAAATCCCTCCATGTATACACGTGTAATTTATTCTTATTGATTCCTTCAGTTGTTCATTTTGTTAGTTTTTTATTCCATTTGATTTGTTAGTACTTGTATTTTACTATAGGTTCCATTTTTCTTACGCCTTCACTGATATTCCATGTTCCTTCATGAACTGCATTTATGTTGTTTCAGTTGGTAGTTAATCTTGGCGGCAGTCATATTAGTTTGTTCCCCCTTTTGATTGTGTTGCTTGCATTGACTGGAATTGTGCATTTTCGATTGTGAATTGAAGCACTCTTCCAGAATTGGAAACACTCTGTTTTATAAAGCAACCAAATATTATCATTCGAACGAATAAAATTTGTTTGTTGCGATTGGTTTGCTTACTAATTGAACAATCATTGGTTTAGTAACTGGGTGGAAATATTGGTTTAGGTAATAACGTACATTTATATTTTTAATACAATCTAGACCCGTCACCTTGTTTTGGTTTCAACGGGGAAAAAAGCGTGTCTAAACTACCCAGACAGTTTTTCTTCAGTCTAAACCTCAGTTTGGATTCTATGAAAGTAAATTCATATTTGTCCATTACTTTATGAGAAGTTAGCGGCGCAAACAAATCACGATGCTTTTGATGTTAATGACTTAATTTTCCGAGCTTTCTCCCAACGCTTCTGAGAATATTGCATTATATTTTGTCACTGTAGATGAAACATCTGGGGCCGAACGGTCAAGACAACACATCGGGTAACAGTTCAGTCCTTAAATTGTTGTCAGAACGTCATCGATGGTGAATTAAAAACCCTACTGTAGGTAACGGATGAAGGTTGCAGCCTGATTTCTTATTTTCTGATTATTCTTCCGATTCTAGTGTGTTGTTCGATTTGTGCCTACCATTTTTTCTCGTGGATTTTAAACAAACATCTGTAGAAGTGTTGTTAGGGTTGATTGTAAATACTAGAACATGTACATTACTTCATTGACTGGGCGTCTGATCATTTCGAGTTCACCGACGAAGTATTACTGTTTCGACCAACTTGCCATATCGTTTTGAAAAATTCTATTTGATATTCGCCAGATATCTTGGATGTGTCTGATTTGTGAGAGACGAAGAAAAACGAATTGTTTAACGATTCTTTAAAGAATATGTTGCTTTAAAGGTCTTTTGCAGCCTGGAAAATGTTTTCACAGAGGTATTGATGTTATATTATATAATATTTCAGGGATTTCTCACCATAGTCAAAGTCATTCGATGTTTTGTGATTGCTGTTTCATGTCATTCATCTCTTGTCCATCAAAACTGACCAATTGTTTGCGATTTTATTATCCATTAACTATTGAAAGTCAGTGAAAACTGTATAATTATATTTCTTCGGGTTTTAATGTTCATTGAGGTGTTAACCACGACCCTATATCAAATATATCCAACAGTCGTAATATGCCACAGATACCATAATTTATCAGTTGAATTCTGAAATTTATTGATCATCAATTTTCGACTAACATATTAGCTATAACTGTAGGTGCCCCTATAGGAACAAGTCAGTAGCCGAAATTTTTATAGCTATCATTAGTACATCATCAGGTGGTTTTAAACTTAAATGCAACCAAATGAACTATCCTGAGTATACATTACATAATAATGGAAAGCCTACAAAATATTCCGATTAGAACTCGTATTGAATATATTATACCAGAATAACCTTACCTTCCTGTTTTTCACGATTCATAGTCTCTTGGTTTAGTATTTCATTTGTTGATGAGCTGTTTAATTCACAACGTTGATAACTTACTGTGTCATTTGTTGTTATTGCTCGATCTAGATTAAAATTTAATACATTATTGTAATTGGCTCATGGGTATGAAAGAATATCTACCATAGGAACAAACATGACCTTCTCTGATTACGTGAGAAGACATGAGATAGCTTATTAATGAAACTATCTGTGTATTTCGAAAGTACGTTTCAAATGTACGAAAGTTCCACTTTGAAAATTTGATCAATTGTTGTCATGGTGACTTGCTCTCAGTTGTTAAATTTACTCGATATAAATGGTATGCACGAATTTCAGTACTTCCCTACAGTGGTTTCCTGAGATTGAAATAAATTTTAGGATGTATGTACCACGTTACTGAGAGCTATGCTGAATTCGCTCATGTAGGTCAAAGCATTTCCAATACAATAATAGCAAAGTCGCTACTACCACATGTTATGAACAATCTAAGAATATCATCAAGTTTACCATAATAAGAAGTTTTCAAAGTGGCCACAGCTTGATTGATGCTAGTGCACGTTGAAGCAACCGTGTGTATCTTTTGATTTTAATGTACTTGATATTGCCACGAAAATTGTAACTTCTTTAGGGCAACGCTATCATAAGCATTTATTGAATTGTTCGAAAATCCTCCTAGGGCCATAAAAAATGACGCAATTGATTATAGGAAACGTAGGAGTTCTAAACCTAGGATGAAAAAGCTGTCCAGTGCTGCTTCGATGTTGATGACTTCCTAAAGATGTCAATCTTTGACAAACACAACCTACGAATAAGCCAGTCTATAAAGAGTTCCTTTATTATCATTTGAACTCATTTGAGGTTGCTTTGGAACCAGATAATCTTTGATTCATGACTTTCTTATATAAACCTATATAAGACAACTGGTAGTCCATTGCATGTATTATAAAATATTATTTTCCAGGAGGTTTCTCATATTTGAAGCAAATTGTACTGATTAATAGCATTTCTTCGAGTAGGATTTTGTTACTTGACTGATAGGAATATTTTTTCCATTTTTACAATCGAGCTTGATCAAGTGTCCTTATCGATTGTAAAGAGCACCATCTAAGAACGACTATTTTACCAGTGATTGCATTTTCCCTGGTAAAAAACACTCATATGTAGGCTTAAACGTTCGTCACGTTACTACTACAAAGTCTATTATCGTCTTTTGAATAGTTAAACTGGAATAATGTGACTGTGATACTATCAATCACATAGGCAAGTTGATGCGATTCATTTTTTGATTAAACTCTGGTCCCTGATCAAAAACAACATAGATAACAGTGCTTTGAATAATTATAGCCTCACATTCACTTCGAAAGCGACTGATATCTGAAACGGCGAGAGAGTGAAGTTACTGACCGACAATAATTGACGATGAGGTCACTGCTTTCAATCCACTCATTTTCGTGGGACAGAAAAATTTGTTGTCTCAAGATCTTAATGAGAGATTTGGGGCAATCATTCAATAATACTGATATCGTACAAATATGCTTGCTACTGATTGACCAGCAACTCAACGAATATTTACTAAAACCTTCCTCTGGAATGCTAACAAACTCAGAAAATTCAGCATAGCTCTCAGTAATGTGGTACATACATCCTAAAATTTATTTCAATTTCAGGAAACCACTGTAGGGAAGGACTGAAAAGGTACCATTTCTGAGATGTTAGTAGGTACTGTTTGAAAACTACAGAGGCATCAAACTAGTATCAGTAACAGGCAAAGTTTCCAAATGGATTGTTTCTGAGCAGAATAAGGGACTAAGCGAACCCTGACTTAGAGACCAACAATCTGGCCTCCGCAAGAACAGGTCATGTACTGATCATATCGCGTTACTGGATGGTCGTTCAACAGACGAGTGAATGGCACCGCCAGACATATGTCGAATTTTTCGACTATGGTGATTTTACATAATTATCATACTGCCGTGCAGTGAAACGTAGTTGAAGTGAGTGCTGAGAAATCAATTCTTGCATACCATTTGTATCGAGTAAATTTAACAACTGAGAGCAAGTCACCATGACAACAATTGATCAAATTTTCAAAGTGGAACTTTCGTACATTTGAAACGTACTTTCGAAATACACAGATAGTTTCATTAATAAGCTATCTCATGTCTTCTCACGTAATCAGAGAAGGTCATGTTTGTTCCTATGGTAGATATTCTTTCATACCCATGAGCCAATTACAATAATGTATTAAATTTTAATCTAGATCGAGCAATAACAACAAATGACACAGTAAGTTATCAACGTTGTGAATTAAACAGCTCATCAACAAATGAAATACTAAACCAAGAGACTATGAATCGTGAAAAACAGGAAGGTAAGGTTATTCTGGTATAATATATTCAATACGAGTTCTAATCGGAATATTTTGTAGGCTTTCCATTATTATGTAATGTATACTCAGGATAGTTCATTTGGTTGCATTTAAGTTTAAAACCACCTGATGATGTACTAATGATAGCTATAAAAATTTCGGCTACTCACATATAGACGAACATGTACACTGACTTCCTGAAGGAATTTTACGTATTTCATTGTAAATTACAATTGATTTATGGCCATCTAGCGAAATGTAGGGTGTACGCTTTATTAAGTTCATGTGAATTTAACAGTAGCAGCTGGATGCATGTGGGATACAGCAGCTCGATACTCCACTTGCGCTGCATGGTAAAACAATATAAGAACGTGATACTATCTTAAGTTTTCAGACTCGTTTTATGTTTACTACACACATATCACTCATAAATATTGATATTTAGTTGTCCTTTTCAATTAATTTTGACTTTTATAGCATCACTCCAAACGACGACTGCACAAACATTTATTCTAGCGTTATATGGTACTGCAATAATAAGTTATTTTCTCTCAATTATTTTTTATTTTATCTTTGTTACTATTTTGGCGATACATTCATAGTCGTTTATTCTTACTCTGTGTTCATAAACACGCTACTTAAACTAATTACGTATTTCACATCTCCTTTATTTCTAGTACCTTATTTTCTCCCTTTCCTTCTTTAAACTCAATTCAATATTCTTCTCTATTACACATAACCTGATTTATTATTATTACTCTATTATCGTTATTATCTTCTTTTCTCGTTTTCAAATATGGCAAATATAATGTTAACATTATTGAAACCTGTGTATTATTGCATTTTTGAAAAAAAACCCGAAGTAATTTCTTCACAACACTTATGTACCCATAAGTTGTTTGAGAATATTTATAATAATAATTAAATCTTAGCCTAATAAACCAGATGCAACAACATATTCAGGACTGATTAAATCAGTCAGCTGGAAGTCACGTAAACTTATAGGTTGTATAACTTGTAATTTCTGATAGTATGGGTTTATTTTAATGCCATATGACTTCTGTGTTTGCCCGATGCTTGAATATTGTCCGTTTGCACTCAGTAGCTTCTCTATAGTCGAAAAATTGATAATGGGAGGAATGCAGTAACCTCTCGTAAAAATAATTCGACATCAGATCTTGTCTAAATTTACTTCACGCGATGTAAGACAGTAGGGTTGAAAAACCACGCAGAATAAGAGAGCTATGCCAAATCTTAGGTTTAATTTCAGGCCTATGCACTAATTAAAGCAATCATTGAATCGGACAGTATATTTCACCAATTAACCTTAATATAACATAAGTTATTGTAGATGGCTCGTCATAAACACATCCAGCTGGAGCAAGTGATTTTTTCACTTTGTTCGGCCACACCAATGAGCGATTAAAATCAAAATCTGGTACCAAACAGTAAGTCGAGGCAGAAGGACACAAAATTTACTCAGCACGTAGCCAACTTAAACTTCACTACAATAGTTTTATCAGACCCGACCAGGAAAGTGACAACACCCATAGTGACCACGTTTCAACCATTGAAGCGTACTATACATAATCACAATTTTGGTAGATAACACTGTAAGGAAGGAATTCGAGCTGATGAGCTCAAAGAGTGGTTCCAAGAGATGTGTTTCTGCTCTAAAATCATTGCATACAAAGATACTTCCTTACTTACGCCTGTTACTCCCAATGGAGCATAGGCCGCTGACCAGCATTCTCCAACTCACTCTATCCTGGGCCTTCTTTTCTAGTTCCATTCAATTCTTGTTCATTTTTCTCATGTCTATCTCCATTTCTCGGCGTAATATGTTCCTTGGTCTTCCTCTTTTCCTTTGACCTTCAGGATTCCATGTGAGGGCTTGTCTTGTGACGCAGTTGGGTGCTTTCCTCAATGTGTGTCCTATCCACTTCCAGCGCTTCTTCCTTATTTCTTCCTCCACTGGGATCTGGTTTGTTCTCTCCCACAGTACGTTGTTGCTAATAGTGTCCGGCCAACGGATCTGAAGTATTTTGCGTAGACAACTGTTAATAAACACCTGTATTTTCTGGATGATGGGTTTCGTAGTTCTCCAGGTTTCTGCCCCATACAGTAGAACTGTCTTGACATTTGTATTGAAAATCCTGACCTTGGTGTTAGTTGACAGTTGCTTTGAGTTCCAGATGTTCCTCAGTTGTAAATATGCTGCTCTTGCTTTGCCGATTCGCGCCTTCACATCTGCATCAGATCCACCCTGTTCATCAATGATTCTGCCCAAATATGTAAAGGTTTTTACATCTTCCAAATCTTCTCCGTCAATTGTGATTGGATTGGTGCATTCTGTGTTGTATTGGAGAATCTTGCTTTTCCCTTGTGTATATTGAGACCCACTGCTGCTGAGGCTGCTGCCACACTGTTCGTCTTCTCCTGCATCTGTTGTTGCGTTTGGGATAGAAGGGCCAGATCATCTGCGAAGTCTAGATCATCCAAATGCATCTTAGATGTCCATTGTATCCCGCGCTTCCCTTCAGACGTTGACGTCTTCATGATCCAGTCGATCAACAGGAGAAAGAGAAAGGGTGAGAGTAAGCAACCTTGCCTAACACCGGTCTTCACTTTGAACGACTTTGTCAGCTGTCATCCATGCACAATTTTGCAGTGTAATCCATCGTATGAGTTCTGTATGATATTGACTATCTTCTGAGGCACGCTGTAGTGTAGAAGAAGTTTCCATAGTGTTGTTCTGTCCTCGCTATCAAATGCCTTTTCGTAGTCAATGAAGTTGATGTAGATTGATGGATTCCATTCAATTGATTGTTCCACAATGATCCGTAGAGTTGCGATTTGGTCTGTACACGATCTATCCTTACGGAATCCTGCCTGTTGATCACGAAGTTGGGCGTCTACGCAGTCCTTCATCCTGTTTTACAATACCCTGTTGAAGACTTTTCCCGGTATTGAGAGAAGAGTGATGCCCCTGTAGTTATCACACTTGCTGAGATCGCCTTTCTTCGGTATTTTGATCAGTAGTCCTTCTTTCCAGTCTGTTGGTACTTGTTCCTCGTCCCAAATCTTATTGAAGAGAATGTGGAGTATCCGTGCAGTTGCCACTACGTCTGCTTTTAGTGCCTCTGCTGGGATGTTGTCCGGTCCTGCTGCTTTGCCACTCTTGATTTGTCTGATGGCCATGCTGATTTCTTCAATTGTTGGTGGGCCAACATTGATTGGGAGGTCCGTGGGTGCTGCTTCGATGTTGGGTGGGTTCAGTGGAGCTGGTCGATTCAAGAGTTCTTTGAAGTGTTCTACCCACCTGTTTTGTTGCTCTTCAATGTTGGTGATTACCTCGCCTTCCTTGCTTTTCACTGGTCGTTCTGGTTTGCGGCGATTTCCAGAGAGTTTCTTTGTCGTGTCATACAATTGTCTCATGTTTCCTTCTCTTGCAGCCTTTTCCGCCGTCGTTGCTAAATCTTCCACATATTTACGTTTGTCGGTTCTGATGCTCCTCTTCACTTGTTTGTTTATTTCCGTGTATTCAGCTTGTGCCTTGGCTTTTTCTGCTCTTGTTCGGCTGGTATTGATCGCTGCCTTCTTGTTCCTCCTTTCTTGAATCTTATCCAGTGTACCAACAGTGATCCTTTCCTTGTGGTGGTGCTTCTTGTGACCCAGGACCTCATGACATGTTGAAGTGATTGCCTCTTTGATCCCCTTTCAGTTGCTCTCCACAGTAGTTCCTTCTCCATTGAGTAGATCATGAAAGGCCTGAAACTTGTTGCTGAGGACTATCTTGAATTTGTTGAGTTTGTTAGTATCCTGGAGAAAGGCCGTATTGAACTTTTGTGATACTGTCTGCCCCGTTGTCCAGTGCTTCTTGAGTTTCAATTTCATCTTGGCGACCAGTAAGTGATGATCTGATGCTATATCAGCTCCTCTCTTGGTTCTCACGTCCTCTATAGTCCTCCTGAGCGTTTTGTTGATGCAAATATGGTCGATTTGGTTTCGTGTAGAGTGATCCGGTGAAGTCCATGTGGTTTTGTGTATGCGTTTATGTGGGAATATGGTGCCGCCTATGACCAGCTTATTGAAGGCACATAGGTTTGCAAATCTCTCACCATTTTCGTTTCTTTCTCCCAGTCCGTGTCGTCCCATGATGTCTTCATATCCAGTGTTGTCCGTTCCAACCTTGGCGTTGAAATCTCCCATCAGAATGGTCAGGTCCTTTGTTGGGCACTTCTCGACGATTGACTGCAACCTATTGTAGAATTGATCTTTAGCGTCTTCATTGTAGTCGTTGGTAGGCGCATAGCATTGGATGATGTTCATTGAAATGCCCTCTTTCTTTGTTTTAAACGAGGCTTTGATGATCCTTGGTCCATGAGATTCCCATCCTATAAGTGCATTTTGTGCTTGTTTGGACAGCATCAATGCAACTCCTTGTGTATGCGGTGCATTTTCTTCTTCATGGCCGGAGTATAACAGGAGCTCTCCTGTAGTTAGTCGTTGTTGTCCAACTTGTGTCCAATGTGTTTCACTGATCCCAAGTACCTCTAGGTTGTATCTTCTCATTTCGGCAGCGATTTGGAAGGCTCTTCCGGTGTCCCACATTGTACGAACATCCTATGTACCTAAATAAATGGTTGCTCTGGTTTTCATGAGGGGCATCGGCCCCGTAACTTCCGAAGGAATTCGGCTTTCATCATGAGGCGTCATAACTGAGGACCTTCTGACTCCCATGGTAGAGTAAAAGGGTTCGAATAATTTTTCTGGTTAGTGTTCTTTTAGCAAGTTAGTTTTCTATGGGATTGGGTCGCCAACCCATCCTCCTTTATCCGGTCTTGGAACCGTCAGTAGCCCTGGAGGTACTCAAGGCGGAGTTGCATACAAAGATAATCAAAGCTTATCCCAACTATCTCCGAATGTTTCTATGATTAAGTAAGACATTACTTATCTAGGAGTTAGCAAGCCTTCTGACGTTGGCCAAACACTCTTGGCAGGTGGGCTAGTGAACTGTGTACTGAAAGTGGATCGTGTGTTAATTTTGTGCGGTTTCGGGAGAAGCTAACTACCCGACTTTGAGACCTAGAAGAAGTAAACTTCATATAAGCCAATAAAAAGTGAAGTAAAATTGTACACCAAGTGGTGGTTTACCAGAAGACGTGATAGCAGCATTCAAAGAGTAATTGGATCTTCACAGCACTAGAAACTGCAAGGATTATTATTGGTCGAAAGACTTCATTTCCTCATTATTGAGGTCTGAAGATTGAAGATGCATACCGTTTATTATTACTGTCACGACTGCTTAGTCTTCACTGGCCAAATAATATATTGAGATAATTTGAATATCTTTGGAAACACTGAGATAAGTGCTAATCCTGCTAGTAACAGGTTATTGGATATTGAATGTTTTCTTAGACTACATGAAGAAGTACAAAGGAGATACCCTGCCGCTTGTTTTGGATGTGGCTGCGGGGCGGTATTATCGTCTACTAATTTGGTGATAAGGTCGCTTCAAGTTCACTTCTGTGAATTTCTAATTTCCAACTCCTACTCTCGCCATTTATTTTGATTCACGCTGCGCGTTTATTGATTTGTTGGTTTACATTTTCCTTATTTCACGCACCTCCATCCTCATACACATTACAACTCTTGATTACACTCCAAATTACTGACGGTTAACGCTAAAAACGACCTAGTGATATGATGAAGCGCAGCAAACGTGCAGTTGTCCAGTCCCCATCATCGTCGACACCGACAATTTCAAGACATGGTCTAGATCACTCACCACTATTTTCCCTATGCAACAGAGATTCAGACAACGATAATTCTGCAGAGCACTTTGGATTGCAAGTTTCTCCTTTGTTTTCGAGAAGTCGGCTTTTGTCTGCAATATGTTCCCCTTTAGAAGTCGATTCGCAACCTACAAAAGGGTATTTTAGTTGCATGTCTCCTAGCTGTGGTCGCGACACTCCGTCCCCGGATGGCCATGCTTATAATCCAGACTTGTCTGACCGATCCATCGGTAAGGGTTACTTAAGTGACCATTTACAGCATAGTCTTTCCTATGCTCGCCGTATGGAGCAGCGTGCGCTACACATATCCGCACGAATTTCACAGTCTGCAAATTTATCAATGAGCCCGCGCCTTCTTTTCACACCTGAAACTTGTAATTCTTCAGACACAGCTGATTCGATCTCAGGGCAGCGAAAAAGGCAGTCTGTAGTTGACGATCTAAATATGCATTCTTTTATGACAATCAGTCAGCAAACGACTTCAACTGTGGAAAGATATGCTCGCCTTGCAGATGTGTGTCCTGACTTACTAAACCGTCGAACTGTGAATAGATTTATGAGCCAGTATACACCAGGGGAAAAGTATCAGGAAGAAAGACCTATTGGAATGAACCCGATCTTCAACTGTAACAAGTAATTGACTTAATTTTGTCTAATGAATGAACAGTCTTGCAGGATCGTTCTCAAACCTTGTTGATATCTGTCGAACTAGACTGGCTGTGTTGTATAAGGCTAGGCATCGTCTAAGTGGCGTTTTATATTGCTTGAAGAGGTCACGCTGCGACTTTGAACTAGAACATCTTAATGGAAGGTAAGATAATATGAGTTTACGGGGTACTCACTGTCATATTATTGTCACTGACTTGTATTAGTATCAAAATTTCCATTTTGTTTCAAAAGCCATCTTTTGTATGCTGAGTATATATAGTTAATTTATCTTTGGGTGGTGAGTGATTTATGTGGTATGCTAGGTACTTTTTTAGTGCAGATCGAATACAACCGGCCAAGTTATAATGTGCCCACTAGTCTAGTTAACTCGACATCGCGTTCACCATGTTAAGGTGTATGGTGGTGATTGGAGGTAGTCAACAGAAAACCTTGTACCTAGCTTTCATGCCTTCTAGTATTTGTTAGCAAGATGTATCTGTAATCTTGCGGGACCTGATGTCCACTGGCGCACTCGATTACTTACCACTTAACCCCACAGCCAGTGACGTTACCACTAAGCTCTCCGGGTCAAGACTGACTGTTTTTGCTTTAGGAATCATCATAGTGTACTGGATTATTTGTACAAGTGTGAAGTATTTTAGTAAAAATCATAGTCTTCGTCGTAAATCGGAGACAAATTCAATATTGTCTAAGTAACTTGTCAAACGCCCAATTTTGTAACTATTCCAATCTCTCTCGTTTTTAGATTATGGTTTCAAACCTCACACTCCAGATATTACTTAAGTTAGACATGTTTTAGTCCATAAATGTGAACGTAGTTTTTAAGTCATGTTATGGTTTATGGCAACTTCCGTACGCTTTTGTGTCATAACATTTCTGGAGACTAACTTATACAGTTTTTGTTTTATGTTGTGTCCTTTAAAAAGGAAAAATAGATCATACGTTGATCAGGCTGTGTTGTTTGTTTTATGTACGACAGTGAAAGTAAAACATCACAGACAAACCGGTAGAAAAAGTTTACACGATTTGTCAATGCTGTTTAGTTTAAGGTCGTCTATCTCTAAGTCTGAGCGTTCAATATTCTGTTTTTGGAACTTATTTAATGTCCTTATTAGGCTCAGGTCGACTACAAAAAGTTCTTGCGAATTCTCATTTGATTGTTAGCCCAAGAGTCCATATTATTGGGTAATGCCAGTTGACTTGGTAAATAAGCCGCTTGGCATCACTTTCACGTCCATTCCGAGTCATACGCAATTGAGGATCAATTAATTGAATTCTCCAAAGTATCAGTTTAAAATAGTGACTTTACGCCTTTTTAAACTTGGCATCACATGTATAAATGTGCGTATTGAAAAACATTGTTTATTCCGATAAAATTTACATTATTTTAGTTCATCCGTTGAAATGCTGAATGAAGTACAAGCCTTGGCATTGCTTCAACATTCCAATATAATTCGGTTTTTTGGCTCCTGGTACGAGGCTGACTCCGTGTATACACAGTTGGAATTGTGTTTAGGTGGCAGTCTATTTCATTTACTATATCCAGATAGACAAAATGACACTTCTGAAGCTGTGTCCCTTGTCTCAACCAACCACATTGACAACGAAATACCTGGTTCTCCTACATCTGGTTCTCCAAGCGATACAAACCGTAACCGTTTATCAGAAAAACCGTTGATTGTCCTGGCGTCGCACGTTATTAGCGCTCTTCATTATATGCACACCAATTGGTCGATGGTCCATGGTGATGTAAAACCGAGTAATATCCTAATACAACTAAGCAGACCTGAAGCTTATTTAGCGTCTGCTAAAGAGTGTATAGAAATGGATGCCAAACGCCACTGTCATAAGGTAATTTTGGACTCTGTTTCATGAATATTCTGGTAATACTATTATTTTTTGATCGTGAAAATATTTTAACCTATTTATTCAAATAGCCTTAGAATTCATGTATACGAAGCAATAGTATTGTCTGAGTTTGTGAAGCCATTCAGTATTTGGGAAAGTACCGGACTTATGATCATTTTCGAATATCCGGAGTTTAACGTTTTGCCATCTTTTAAATTTATTGAGGAAATGTTAATATTTATGGTTTAAATTATCCAATTCGTTTGTTAATCTTGTACACTAGTCATTTTGAATATAAGTTTCGAGTGTGATTACAAGGATCATATGTTAAAATACAGATTTGATGAGTTTTTCGTTAACTATGCATTTCTCCGCTGTATATTTTAGATTACGTAACATTAACGATGGAATTAAGACTACATCTCATGGGTTTATTCTACTGGTATCGGTTTGTGTCCACCTTTTTGTGCAAGTTGCAGCCAGTAGCCGTATATTTGTTTTCTCCGTCCAAAAGTAAAGTCTAATTCAGTGATGAAAGCTTCTTTATTATTCTGGTTTTTGTCTGAATAGTTTCTGTACAGTTATTTTCAGCTTAAAAGCATCACAAATATACATTAGCTCGACCATATCTATGACGTTTTACGTACGCCCATCCACTGCCTACACAAACTTGTGATGTCTGGTATAGTAGTACACTGAAAGAAAGTTCAGGGCGGCCAAATCAAATCCATAAAGTCACTGAGAGTTGGACTGACGTTTCTTAATAGGTACAGACTACGTGGTTGGGGTCCGTTAGAATATCGTCACCAGTGGTTAGAGACACTGAATGACAGGATTCAAAATCGTTTGCAATGGCGCATGTCCATCCAATCTTTATCTCCCCCCAACTCCTGAAATTCAAACCTCATAAGCCTTTTTGTTTTTATTTCGCTAATTTATATTTTTTCAAATTGTATCTTTGATGCCTGACCTTTCCCATTACCATTGATGCTATTACTTACCTCCACTATTCTGGGATTTGAAATGACACCCAGAAACTTCGTCCTAAAGGTCTGATCCACAAGGCAATGCAGCAACGTAATGAGATGCAGTCCCATGGTAGACAGTGACCAACAATTGCTTCATACGCCATTTGTTCCCTCGGGATACTGGAGTCCATGTGCACCATTGATTTGGAATCAGGGTTTCCCTACTCTCCTAAGTGAACCCTCCGTGTCCACCAACTGGCTTAAAGCGCCTGACATTTGCTTATCGTCCTCTCAATTTCGTAAACCACATCTTTACCGTGAGCAGTTAGTGAGTAGGACTCTCCTGACAGTGGCTGTATACTCATGACCATATGAGAGCATTTCGAGAGTGGGCTTTTTCTTATCGGTTGTGTCATACCTTTGTGTTTTTTGATTCAGGTAGTTCAAGAAGTACTGATTGTTCTCTTTTACTTAAAGCTTAATCGATCGTTACAAAAGTCCTTGTTAACTGTTTCGCTGACGGAGGTAAAATATAGCTCAGCCCTATTTATTCCGAATATAAAACTTTGTTGATGCTCATAGATTAGTACTCTTACACATATATGTATGCTTTCATTACTGCAGTATTAATATCACTATGTTTCATTGCAAGTAGTCAAGGATTGTAAAATCGTTTACAAAGATGATATGAGTGTAAAACCCTCACCATTTTCAATGTGGGAGTAACATGATTCGATCCAGCCTTAAACGAATACCAGAAGCACGGTAAAAGTATAGCGTCCCACCGTCTCACGAACTTGTCTCCGAGTCAAAAATTTCCTAAAGTCAAGTCACACTACTCAATTTTCTGAATTATAGTTTATATTGCAGGTCTCAAACTTGTTACCACATAGTTAAAGCTGAGGTTTTATTCATTCATCTTCAGAAATCCAGGTAAATTAAGTAGGGTTTGGTTGAAGTGTTCAGTAGATTAAAAGTGTGGTTTCAACTGTGTTTAGTGTTTTGTAATGCCTTATGTAGGTGTCAATTGTTATACGTTGGTACTAAAGAACATTGAGTTATTTTCACAGTTTTCGAAATTCAGCAATGGCTAGCAGTTCAGTTACATCACGTTCTCTTCAAAATTTTATATTTTACGCAACTAACGTTCATTTTCTTACTCAACGATTGTCATTCATGTCTTACATGCCCTGGTACGGCTGAGGGTGAGGAGAGTCAGCTCTCCCTCTCGAAATGCTCTCATATGGTCATGAGTATACAGCCACTGTCAGGAGAGTCCTACTCACTAACTGCTCACGGTAAAGATGTGGTTTACGAAATTGAGAGGACGATAAGCAAATGTCAGGCGCTTTAAGCCAGTTGGTGGACACGGAGGGTTCACTTAGGAGAGTAGGGAAACCCTGATTCCAAATCAATGGTGCACATGGACTCCAGTATCCCGAGGGAACAAATGGCGTATGAAGCAATTGTTGGTCACTGTCTACCATGGGACTGCATCTCATTACGTTGCTGCATTGCCTTGTGGATCAGACCTTTAGGTAGAAGGGTTCAGGTGTTGTCCCCTAAGAAAACCACCTGCTTCGATTTGTGTAGCCTGACGTATTCTAGCCCTAACACAAGTTAAACCACGATTACTACTGGAAATATTATTTTAGAACTATACAACAACTCGCTTATGGTGAAATCCCTGTCCTATTTAAATGATCTCGCTTCACTAGGTGGTGGAAAGTTGAATAATACCACTGAATACAAATACTGAAACAGTCTTTCTGAAGCCATGTATATCATTCAAACTGGCTTCATCGTTCGCACAGATAGGGTTGGCTGTCTTTATGAAATCTTAATATAGACATCTGTTGTCTATCCGAGACCCGTATTCAAGATTCTATTGAAGTATTACAATTTCGCTCTTCAACTATCGCTTCGAAAATCTTGTCTCACATGCGTATATCCGGGGACCCTGTAGCATCATCGTCTGGTTTCGCTGGTGTTGGTGTCGCACTGAGCGCCAAAGCTCAGGCAGCACTGACAGACTGGATCCTCATTAACAGTCGGTTATGTACTGTTAGATAAAAACGTTCCATCAAATTGCGAAGAAATCTGAGTGAATAACGATGTATTCTCACCATCTCTGCCTATGGTCCTGCAGATGTCAGCCTGGATGCGATCAAGAATGAGTTTTGCCACTAGTGTAATGCTCTTCTATAGAAAGTGAGTTCGACAGGTAATATTGTACCAGCCTGTACCTCCTGGAGTTCCTCCGGGGGCTAATGCCGGTCCCAAGCCCGGATAAAGGAGGAGGGTTGGGCATGGGGTTAGCGTCCCCATCCCGTAGAAAACTAACTCGCTAAAAAACGCTAACCAGAAAAAATTATTCAAACCTTTTAAACTCTGCCATGGGAGTCAGAAGGTCCTCAGTTATGACGCCTCATGATGAAAGCCGAATTCCTTCGGAAGTTACGGGGCCGATGCCCCTCATGAAAACCAGAGCAACCATTTATTTAGGTACATAGGATGTTCGTACAATGTGGGACACCGGAAGAGCCTTCCAAATCGCTGCCGAAATGAGAAGATACAACCTAGAGGTACTTGGGATCAGTGAAACACATTGGACACAAGTTGGACAACAACGACTAACTACAGGAGAGCTCCTGTTATACTCCGGCCATGAAGAAGAAAATGCACCGCATACACAAGGAGTTGCATTGATGCTGTCCAAACAAGCACAAAATGCACTTATAGGATGGGAATCTCATGGACCAAGGATCATCAAAGCCTCGTTTAAAACAAAGAAAGAGGGCATTTCAATGAACATCATCCAATGCTATGCGCCTACCAACGACTACAATGAAGACGCTAAAGATCAATTCTACAATAGGTTGCAGTCAATCGTCGAGAAGTGCCCAACAAAGGACCTGACCATTCTGATGGGAGATTTCAACGCCAAGGTTGGAACGGACAACACTGGATATGAAGACATCATGGGACGACACGGACTGGGAGAAAGAAACGAAAATGGTGAGAGATTTGCAAACCTATGTGCCTTCAATAAGCTGGTCATAGGCGGCACCATATTCCCACATAAACGCATACACAAAACCACATGGACTTCACCGGATCACTCTACACGAAACCAAATCGACCATATTTGCATCAACAAAACGCTCAGGAGGACTATAGAGGACGTGAGAACCAAGAGAGGAGCTGATATAGCATCAGATCATCACTTACTGGTCGCCAAGATGAAATTGAAACTCAAGAAGCACTGGACAACGGGGCAGACAGTATCACAAAAGTTCAATACGGCCTTTCTCCAGGATACTAACAAACTCAACAAATTCAAGATAGTCCTCAGCAACAAGTTTCAGGCCTTTCATGATCTACTCAATGGAGAAGGAACTACTGTGGAGAGCAACTGAAAGGGGATCAAAGAGGCAATCACTTCAACATGTCATGAGGTCCTGGGTCACAAGAAGCACCACCACAAGGAAAGGATCACTGTTGGTACACTGGATAAGATTCAAGAAAGGAGGAACAAGAAGGCAGCGATCAATACCAGCCGAACAAGAGCAGAAAAAGCCAAGGCACAAGCTGAATACACGGAAATAAACAAACAAGTGAAGAGGAGCATCAGAACCGACAAACGTAAATATGTGGAAGATTTAGCAACGACGGCGGAAAAGGCTGCAAGAGAAGGAAACATGAGACAATTGTATGACACGACAAAGAAACTCTCTGGAAATCGCCGCAAACCAGAACGACCAGTGAAAAGCAAGGAAGGCGAGGTAATCACCAACATTGAAGAGCAACAAAACAGGTGGGTAGAACACTTCAAAGAACTCTTGAATCGACCAGCTCCACTGAACCCACCCAACATCGAAGCAGCACCCACGGACCTCCCAATCAATGTTGGCCCACCAACAATTGAAGAAATCAGCATGGCCATCAGACAAATCAAGAGTGGCAAAGCAGCAGGACCGGACAACATCCCAGCAGAGGCACTAAAAGCAGACGTAGTGGCAACTGCACGGATAC